TTCACACAAAGTCAGAAGCCCTCAGCTCTGAGTACCCATGCCCACCAGCCAGCGAAGACTGAGTCATGCAACTGCTGCCTTTGAACATGAACTCAAAGCCCAACTAGACCCATAGAGGCTAACAGCTTCAACCCACCTCACTGCTGAGTCTCTCACTCCCACTTTGTTCTTTAAAGCGACTCTGACAAGTGTGAGTGTATGCAAGTGTGTGTGTCTGTCGCTGCATTTAATCACGAGTAAACATTACCTCTGTATACAACAGTAGAAACTCTAGTGCTGAGAAATGTTCTGTATTCATTAACACGTAATGAGTGCAACTACTTGACAAAGTTGGGCTTGACAAGCCTCCATTCTAATTTGAAACAGATTTTTTGGGAGATGGAAATTGTTGTCTCAGAAAGCAGCCAGTCTGCACTTAAAAAAAAAAACAAGGCCAAACTCGCATCACAATTACCAGTGATGAATAATTCACTGAGTCAGTAACATTCAGTGGTAGCTCTCCACATCCTCTCTGCCTGGCTCTATGACTCTCTGTCTCTGCCTTTACCTCCCAGCCTGCCTTTCTGAATGCATCAATACAATGCTATCTACCAAAATCTCCATCCTCCTTTCTCCTACAGGCAGACACATGAGTTAAATAAACAGGCAGGCAATTAATGATCTTTTTGGAGCCTACTTGAAGGTAAACATTCTCTAATGTTCAGAGCACAAACCTCCTCCCACTGGCTAATCTGCTGTTGTGAGTTGGGTTGAGCTGTGGGAGATTTTCAGCAATGATAATGCTCAATTCACCATTTTGTGGTGGAAACGAGAGAGCTGGCACCAGCTGCCACCTTGATCTGATTTTATGAAATATGATCTTATATTTCCTCCCGGCCCCCTTCTCCCCCCACATGGCTTTTCTTTTTTTGTCTTCTGCTAGGAGATAAAACATTAACACACCCCATGCATAAAGAATACTTCACTTGAAGACATGACAAACACTCCCATTTCAAGCAGCTGATGGAAGGTAAAAGTAATAACTTAATCTGCTACCATTCAATTGGCAGTACTATATATATATGCCTTCATTTTAAGAAACATCCATGAGACAATCCACTGAAACTGTTTTTCAGTTAACCAGATGGGTGAATTAAGACCATATTCCCTTTTGGCAGCTTGGAAAGAGGCCTCTGGGGGGAGAGGGGAATGAAGGAACAAATGAATGATTTAAATCAGAGTTCTGCTTTGTACCACTCCCTCAAGGAAAGAGGATGAGGAGAGTACAGGAAAGAAATGAAAGTACAGTAGAGAGAGAAAATAGTACAAAAGGGAAAAAAATGGGGCAGTGATACTGAGAGAGATTATGAGGGAAAGGTATCCTATAGCGTGAGTGTCTGAGAGAGAGAGAGATGGCAGGCAGAGGAGAAGAGATGTGGAAAAGAGATCAGAGCTTGCAAAAGAGAATTCTCCTTGGCTGAAATAGGTTCTCCGCTGCAACAGCTGGGTCTCCAGACACTTCATTTGATAAGAAACAGAAACTGAATAGATAGATGGCACAATGTTAGTAAGTCTCAGTGTGTTCTCACTTTCCCAGCTTGTTTGTGAGGAAGAATTGTCTGCTCTTTAAAACCTATCAACACATTAATTGCATGCTTTCCCCCTTTGTACAGATATAATAGCAAAATACATGTGACAAGCATGTACTTTATATGAAGTCATTTATAAAAGAGCACACTTTGCAATAGCAAAGTATCATATCTTATTGAAGATTATCTTAGAACTGCTTTGTTTTGCTCATTTAATATTCATTTCCTACAGTTTTTATTACTGAGAATTTGTTTCAAAGACTGTCTCAGCTTCCTGCAGAACATTATTGTTCAAAAAGTGTGAGATTCAGGTACAGCTATGATTCACCTTAACTGTAAATTGAGGTATACTGACAGAAGACAAGAGAGTCAAACAATTACTCCTTTAACAGCCGTAATGGGCAGTGTATCTCCCAAATGAAATGGAGGTATACTGACTCATTAAAAGCATCTGCTGGCTGACAGTATGTAAGTCTTTCCATTACAAGTATTCCAAGAAGCACCAAAATGCACCTGAGGATTCAGCTACAGATAAGTGTTGATGATGTCAAAGAGGCTGTGTTGAGGTGCAGTAAATGTATATGCACAGCTTCCACAGGCACAGAACACAAACACACGGACAAGATATGCCTTCCCCTGCCAACACACAAACACACGCACACGATATGCCTTCCCCTGCCACACACTTGCCATTTATCCTTTCACTTGTTTGGAGAAACTCATCAAGTCTCTAAAGATGTCTCTAATTGTGACTCATTCTGTTGATAATAATTCAAACTCCTCAGACTCCTCAGAGAGCTTAGGGCTAGAACACTGACTACCCAACCCTGAATTAGGCTGAGCCATATATGACACTGCTTAGGTTGATCATTTGCTGAAATGCAAGTACTCACTTGTTTCATAGAAATATGTTTCCCCACCATAAACAAGACCAGGAGAGGACTCTCGTGACACATTATGTCATGATATGTCAGACATTTAAACAAGTTTTGAACCAACCTTCACATTCATCAAAATCTTTCAGTTGTATAAATAAATATAAACTTTTCAGATGGACTTAAGTGTTTAAACCTGTTCATCTGAGCACTTGCCTTGTTTCACTTCATTACCATGACGCCCCAGTGTTTCTACACTATCTAAATCTAAATGATTATTCAACTTTAAAATGATGTTGGTGTATAACCTTACCTCCAACATTAACATATGATCAAGCAGTATAAGTATTAGAAACACTTTTTGGATTTCAGGTAAAATCTGTTCCATTTAATAACACAGTGGAATTAAATTAACCTGACACCTTGCATCATGTCCTGCATGTCCCATAATGACATTGCCCTCCCTTTTATTTTCCATCCAGACTCTTGAGAGTATCTGAAATGAGCTGAACCACCGTTGTTAACGTCATGGCTACTCTGTCTCCACTCCCCCGAGATTGCTCAACCATACAGTGCAAGAGCTCATTGCTAAAAATAATTAGCAATGCTAAACACAGAAACATCTGTTGTACAATCTTCACTGACATCTAGAAGGTGCTAGCATCGTGATAGTGCTAAGTTTCTAAGATAGTAGCTGAGTGCAAAATGAATGACCACACACCTCTTATCACAGAATAGGTTAGCTTTAATAGTCCCTCATACCAACTGTGCTGGTTTCTAGTACAATGAACCTTAATGAAATAAAAAGTTAGAGACAGTCATTCCTCCTGAGGGAATATAATAACAATAATATACAAAGGAAATCTTTATCTCAGTGAGACTCTGAACTAAACCAATGCCAATCATCTAGTAGTCATGATTAAACTTAGATAACATGATTTCCATATCATCATGTTGCATGCGATTAATGTGATTATCATCATTACTCCCCTCATTATCATCAAAATCATCAAAGACCAACGGAAGGAGAATGTGTACATTCTGCATACACACATACAGTATACACAGGTGCATGCACACACGCGTTCTGAACGCTTTGAGCACATTCACTTGCTGTACCAAAGTCAGCACATCCACATCTGAGGGAGGAAATTATGTGTTCAATTTCCACAGAGATGAGCTTAGAGTTACTTTCAGCTCCTCTTCCTATTTGAAGCTAATGAATGCAGATCGAAAAGACGTTGATTCCATCTGAACAAACACCTCAACACCTGCACATGAAGTGGCAAGTCTGTCCTCTCTGGCACTAAAATAGAAAACATAATTTAAATATTCATATCCCTCAGCAGACTGAATGAATAGGCAAATTATTAAATCATTCCGTTGCCTCTCTCTCTGTTTCCTGTAGTAGTCTAAGGGTGTGGACAAGAGCAAGTAGTCGGCTTTAAGTTAAATAGCTTAATTTGTTATCTGAAGGTGTTGATAAGTCTCTGCTCTGCATTGCAGTGAAATTTCCTATCAGTCATGATCCGGGGAGCATGAAACATGTTCATCCTAAGTACGGCAGAGATTGGACAAAAGTACCACTCCTGCAATGCTCAGGTTGTCCGTGCTAAAAATTTGTTTTTTATTGTCAACATTATGTTAAATTTAACAAAAGAATTTGGAGGAAGTTTTGAGTTTGCATTAACAGGGAACATAAAGAAAGGTCTCTGATATACTGATTTCAAATGCAGGTCTACAGTATATTTTTCTCTGCCACTGAGGTAAATGAACCACACATGGAACATATGTGGCAAATCTGGACTCCTGAGTCCTTTGCTTTGTGCAATCACCCACGCTGATGATCTGTTTTGACTTGTCTGTAGTTTAGCAGTGTCATACTGTTTTGCCACATTATGTAACAGTATGTTATCTGCATTGTCCCTGTACATTTACGAATGTTGTAAGTAAGGAGGTCTTAACGGGTTAGCGCCTCATGTAGATGGTTTTTAACTTCTTCTTTCACTCAGTGTATTCAGAGTATTTTGGCAGCACTGATGGCTGTAGCAGGCTATCCCAAGCCCTGAATCACCTCACTGTCTTAAAACTAATAACACTGGACCGTTGCCATGTCTTTGTTGGCCTTGCAAGTCTGTGATTCTGCCATAGCAGCAGATATTTATGCCTAAAAGGCACTTAACCTGTACTTTACAAATTAAATAAGGTATTGACACAGCAGCATAGGCAGAATTGGTGCATTTCATGATGACCATAGTCTGCAGCTCACAGTAAGCTGTTTTGTCAGGTGTAGCCTTCATGTCAAGATAGCTTGACCTTCCTGCACCGTGGTGGAGCAGTCATATTAGAAAATAATATGGAAGCGAACAGCCAAGGAGAAAAGAACACTGGTACTTAATGTTTGTGGGTGGTGGAAAAACAAGGGAGAGAAATAGGAGGTGGAAAAGTACTGGAGCAGTAAAAGAAATAATGGAGTAGCCAGTCATAAGCAATTTCTTTGATTTTATTTGTACAGAACAGGGGGCAGCAAGTCCTCTTTTATGAGGATACAACTCACCTGTGTATTATGTGCTTGGTGCTGAGGTATCCTAGGGCCAGGGCCAATTCACAGATGTAGAGTTTGACAGTGCTCTCTGAGAAGTGAACGTTCTGCTGGAGGTGGTAGCGTAGGTCTCCTCCCAGAAGCAGGTCCACTACCATAAACATGTCCTCCTCATCCTGGAAGGAATACCTGCAAGATAAAGGAGGCAGGAGTGAGGACCGACAAAGACAGAGACACACCATGAGATTTGGAAAAGAGAGGGATGGGAGTTGGGTTGATGCATACAAGAGCGGTGTACGGAAGAGAGTGACATGGAGAGGCTTAAGAAATCAGAAATGAAAGTATAAATAAGAGTGGTGATGGAAAGGATGAGAAATGGGTGGGGGAGTTAAGCAGCAGAGGGGAAGGCAAGTGGTGGTTACAGGAGAAGAGAAGGAAAGAGGAAATGAGGGGTGAGAAGAGGAAGTTGTGACAGTACACAAGAAGGGTTCCTGAAAGATGAACATAGTCTCTCAGGGTCTAATGCTGCTGCACATTATGACTTTAACCAGGCAGACGAAACACTCATCATACTTTTTCACATTGTAGGTGGAGCACCTACAGATTGGCTGAGCCATCCCTGAGGCAATACCCATTATAATGTTTTCAAGGCTAACTAGCTAAGAAAATCCTTTATCATCTTGCACCGAAGTGGCTATGACAGTTAGGAGACAGGTAACACAGTTTTGACAACTTGAAAAGACACCAGCAATTTGATAGGATGTAGCTTTTTTATAAAGTGCCCAGAAACTTTTTCTCTTCCTTCTTTGGCTTTTTAATACTTACTATAAGTGTTTATACCAACAGAGACTACATTAAATGAACTACAAAAGTTAGGTTTTCAAGCCCATATTTATTACCTGACATTAGATTAATAATAATGATGTTATAAATGCAAATTATGATTGAAAGAAGAGCAAAACTAAGTAAAAGTCAACAAAAACAAATGAGGACAGTCAACACAGAGGAAACATTAGATTACATTAGTGATCAACAAACAGATTACTGTGACGTTCACATTAGTGTTATTGAGCATTTGTATAGTCCAGCACCAATCATGGTAAGAAAATCTATAATTATAGCTTGATAACAAAGCAGAATTCTGCATCTACTCATTAGCATGGTTTACTCAGAAAGCTCCCCCACTGTGCTTCTGCCTTGCTTTAGGGTGAGCAGATTTTTAATGAGTCTGGTGAGGGTCTTCATTAAAGCGGACCGGTACACCTGTTAAATGTTCTTTATGCCAGATTTGGCAAGGAAAAGTGAAGAAGTGAAGTGTGTTCGATGGTCTTCAGCAGGGAAAGTGCCAAACATATCGCTTTCTTTTTCATGAATGAAAAACATCTGATTTAAATAAGTTGAAATGTTTTTTTTTCTCTGCTCAACGGTGCTTGTTTATGTTGTTTTTGATACATACAGTATATGGTTTTGCATATTCCTCAGTGCCCTGTGTGTGAAGGATGTTCTGGGTGGGGATGTCATTTGTGTTCATCCATCTGTTCATCCTTTCATCCACCACTCACAAACACAGCAAGCTTCTATTAGTCTGCATCACCAAAGAAGACACTAGAACAGATTTTATATGCCGTTCATGCCACCGGGGCCACACTTTTTCACACTTCTAAACGATGAGCTAATTAGTTTCTCTCCCACAAGAAAGTAATTTATGCAAACATGATATAAAAATGCAGCAGCCAAAATTTCCTGGTTTACTTAGTGTTGTTCTGGGTACTGTGTGCAGCACAACATCCTACATCTGCAAGTTGAGATTTTCCATAAAACTGGTGAAGTCCACTGCCCTTCTTAAATCCTTCAGCTTGTTCCCTATCTGAAATAAATAGGCTTCAATTTCACTGACCACTTCCGAGTGGTTTCATTGTTGACTAGGGGTTTCTGCTGGCAGATATTTCTCTCTAAAAACCTGAAGGATAGTTTTTTTTCTGCCACGCTGGTGAACTCTCTCCCTCGGGGTCCTCCTCCAATAATCTGGAGGTGGTGCTTTTCTGCGGTGGATAGATGGGGGATTGATTGAGCTGACTCCAAACTGTCTGACAAGGCTCAGATAATGCTGAGACCACTTAACATCTGATTGTCAGTGGCCTCAAAGTGTGGAAAGACTATCTGTGAGGTGCCCGTGCTAAAGATGCGCACAATGTCACAAAGAGCCACACAAAGATGTACACGCACACATCTTGTCAAAATGAGAGATACCTTTTCTAAATGTAAAATATCCTATGACTCAACAGTCGCATATTGTAATGCAAAAATAGAGTTTTATGAATGAGAAGACAAAATTACTTGAAAGGTAACATGAGGATTCTAGAAAGACTTGAAAAGTTCCAGCTGCTGCTGTTAGATGGAAGGGAGAAGCACAGATCAAACAGGCATCATATTAACATCACCTTCTCCTAAATATCAAAGTAGTGCTTCACTTTGGTATGGGATTTGTAGTCTGTGGGAAAGACACATCTCTGACTGAGTTCATAGATGGTCAGGACCTCCCTCACCTATTGCTGAGTAACCCTCTCTCTCTCCACAAACTTTAATTCCTGTGCCGAATGTTTCTTTGTTGATCTGCACTGACCAAAAGTTGCTTCTCAGCCGTACCAAACTGCCTCTGGTTCTTCACTGATCATTTTCTTTGGACTACAGTATTTTCACTTTGGAAAACACCCCCTGTCAGTGCTATGAGAAAATAAAATTTCCTGGCTTTAGATTGGTGGTAAGGAAGGACAGCAGGTCAATTAAAACAATCAATAGTACATTTGAGGCCTCTGTAAAACCGGTTTAATAGAGTAGAAAACCAGCTCTCATGCTTGGCTGAGGTTTCCATGTTTTCTGTCCCGCGAGTCTTTGCATCAGAAAGCCAAGGTGGTGAAAGCTAAAAGGGCTTAGCCATCACTGTCGGGGGAAGTTGTTCTGTCTTCTGAGCAAACAAGACTGACTGATGGCAATCTGTCACATGTTTGCTCAGGAACAAAGCCTCCATAAATAGAGTTGACAGCCTGCTATAGTTATAGACACAGTGAAGCACATATATTATACACTGATTACTGAAACATGCAGAGACATGATGTCCTCACTTCCACCCCGCAGCCTCTTGTAAGAGCTTCAGGGTGCACAGGGTCAAGGATAACTAGATAGAAAAAGTTTGATTGTCAGCAGGCAGGAGGATTATTGTTATTATTATGATATGTTTAGCCGTAATCTTAATCATAATATCTTCCAAGGCTTAATGTCCGGACATGTCCCTGAATGTCCTGTATGTTCTTAGATACACACCACTTAATCAACATTCACACACATTGATTCTCTCCATGTTTTGACTATTGTTATGGTCAGCTGTAAAGCTGGCATATCAGGTGACGCCACGGTTTGACGTCCCTGTGTAGTATGGGGCTAGCCCAACCGAAGTGATAAATGTATAGGCCTATTGTGGTTCAGGGTTTTTCATTCTTCATCTGCCTGCGCACAGTATTGGAGGTGGAAGATACCTGGACGTGTAATGTTAATTTTACCTGTGATTCTTTGAATAAACCACCACGGTTTTTTTATATATCCAAGTGGTCCGTCTCGTCTCTCTGAGTTCCACTGGTTAAAAGAACCAAAAAAGCTTTCAACACCAATTAATAAATCTACTTTTCTCAGTACTTGGTCTGCAGAAATGCACATTATTCCACTTAATCCTCATTTCTTGTGCTATACATACAGTAAGCTATTTGTATTAAAGCTTCAAATCAACAACATACCTCTGGGGCTGAATGACTTGGTGCTAATTGCTCTTTCTATTTTATGCTATTTCAGCAATATCTCCATTCTATTTAGAGTGTAAATTAGTCTCAGATGACAATAAAATCCTTATTTCTTCTAGAAACAAGTCTGCTCTCCCTCTCTGTCTTTCTCTCTGGTGACATGCTGCTTGGAAAGTGTTTGAATATGAATGAAGTCTCCACTGGCCTGCTGCCACTGCTGTCAAAATGAATTAGAAATGGTACTCATTAAGTTGTTTGTCACAGGTACAGTCTACCCAAGATACCATTAATAGAAATGGAACTATGTACACTCATTTGGCAGACTGCTGTGCTGCTGCTACTTTGACCTGTACCGCATTATTCAGAGATGAGTTTCCGTTAATTAGCCTAGCCTCACTGTTGTACAGTATACAGTAGTTGGACAAAATCATAGAAACACCTGTCAGAACAACACAATACAGTTCAACAGCAGCACAAAGTACAGCTACCAAAATGAACGCACACTTGAATCAGCACCTCTCCAAAACAGTTTGAACAAAACATGAGCATTATAACCTTCATGAAGGAGGGTTTATTACTGTTTGACTCAGCTAGACATACTCAATAAGCTGCCAACGGAGTGTAGTTTTATGGTAAAAACAGGACTGAAAACATGATCAGTCTATACACTGTGTTTTAAATATCTGGCGTGAACATGAGCATGAAAGGTTTTGTGTCTCCTTCTGTGTCAGCCCAGTGACAGACTGGTGACATGTCCAAAGTGTACCCATCTCTCGCCCAATGTTGGCTGGAATTGGCTCTGGAAGTGGCAACATGTGTATAAGTACTGAGTGGAAAATGTAAGCTCTCTTTCCATTTTGACAACAGCACTACAGCACATTGTCAAGTGGCTTTGATTGTGTTTTCCAGCTGCAATGGGCTGAAAAAGACAGATGGCAACAGAACAGGAAGAATGAGCTTCCATTAGCAGCTGTTGCTTGTTGGTAGAGAGCAGAGAACAACCATCTGACTGCAGATTAGCACCTGTACGTTTTGTTGAAATGGTGCCGACTTTTCATTAGCCTTCTTGGCATCGTGCCTCCTTTCTCTCTCTTGTTCTCTTACTCCATCTCATTCTCTCAGTGCCTATCTCTGCTCCAGTACACATGCATTTTAGTGTGACCTCTTGGTGGCCTCCAGGCAGTCAGTCTGACAGGAGAGCATCCTGCATGGAGCTTTTAGAGGCAGAGGCACCCCAGGCCACTTCAGTAATGGAAATCTCCAGAAACCTTGAGTTCTCAGAAGCTAATGGTAACATGTTCTTAAAAATACTTTCTTTCCCGCATTCAAAATAACAGCTATGACATGTAAAGCCACACAGTTAAATGAAATAACATTAAAGCTCCTGTACTTCCTAAATTTGTTTCTTACTTATGTAAATGAATGAAACCTCTTTAATTTACACTGTCAAGTGATTTTTGTTAGTTAACACAGTCTACTGAATACCAACTGCAGAAAAAAAACACACCAGTGAACTTCAGCAATAAAATGGCTAATTAAGACTGCACAAGGCATTGCAGCTGCTGTGATTAGACATACTACCCACACATGTGCACATACACCATCTGATCACAGCCCCTTGCTGAAGCAGACAGAGCCAGGTGACCTCTCAGACTGGGTCATGTCGGATGGAGGCCAACAGCCCCCCAACCTGTCTCCCGCCCCCATCTCCCACCACCTCTCTCTGACTCACAGCTCCCATCAGTCTGTCTAACACTCCCTGAGCACAATGTGCATGTATGCACTTACATGTAAAAAGCCCTCACAAAAATGTACAAAGTAAATGAACATGCTCATATGTTCAGTTTAACAGTAAATGTTTAGCTTGTGCCTGAAGCAGTATCCAAGTCTTATTTCAGTAATTTAGCAAGCAAGCAGATTTTTACATTCTAAAATATTTGACCTAACCAATTTTTACTTCCACATTTTAGCTACTAGCAGTACTTGATCAGGATATTTTCTTCTCTTACCACCCCTGACTCTGTTATCTTCCATTTACCAGGTCACCTTGACATCAGGCCAAATACTAGAGACGCTGACATGCTGATTTCTAGTGCTCAGCAATGCCTGCAGTGTTAAATGTAAAATGAGGATCTGATGTGCTCATTCTGCAGATACACAAGGATACAGTAAAAAAATTTTTTTGCTGTTGCTTACGTATCATATTATAGTCTAGAATTACACTCCTCTTTGCTCCTTCCATTCATTCAAAGTGTACCTTATACGTACGTAAGCAGACTGTAGTGCCTGCGCAGTATGATACAGCGTTGCTGGTGTACTAGACCTTTTCCATTTAAAATGCTTGGGGGAATAGTCACTGTTGCCTTTGTGGGACGTTATGTCATTACCGTTTGGTTTTCTATGAAGAAAAAGCATGAATGGAGAGTAACACTGAATGATGCTCATCATAGAAATGAAATGTGTTAGTAAGAGTAAAAAAGTATCTCCCGTAAGTGAGTGACGCTTTTACTCTGCAACACTTCAGACTTTTGTTAATGTACTTCTTTTCTTTTGACAGTTGCATAACTAGTGTTCTTTATAATAGCATGTTACATCATAGCTGTGCATTTCAAATATGTTAGACTTGGGAGACATCATGGAATGACATGTCCTAGCGTAGTCCTATATAAAAGCAGGTTTAGTTGTGTAAGCTTTATCATACACTGAAGCTATTTTTGCAGTGAACATTATTATTCTGCCACCAAAGTGGAAGAAGAGAATAGAAACTATACTGAAGACTTGTGGTGATGTCATTTCCTAAATCCTTGCCATTTCTTTTGGTTGGTATCATAAATTAAATGCATTTTTTTAATACCAGCCAACCTTTTTTCTTTCAACTCAACAAAG